GTACATGCATTCGTAAATTTAGATTACTTTTTTCTGTACTATATTAAAAACTAAAATTTATTTGTTTGTAAGCTTAAAATAGATCCTTATTAACCATACATTATTAAAAATGCATTAATAAATAAAATACAGAACCGGAATTGGCAATTTATGGTTTAGCCTAGTGACAAGTAGATTTAGAGACAAGTAAATTCGACTTAAGTCGTTCTCCTGGAACCAATTACTGACGTAAGGCAAGGTATACCTGTATACACATTTTTATGATGAGAAGTAAAATGTTTAATAATGAAATTATTTTAAATTATTGTAATTAATTTATATTTACAAATTGTAATAATATTTTACTTTATGAATTATTTGTCAGAAATTATATAATATTTTCAAGATTATAAAATTTTTTAAATAAGAAATTTTTAAACTTTTATTATTTTTTAAGATTTAATCTTTAATTACATAAATCATATAAAAAATTCTTCTAAAACTTTTGATATTTATTTTTAAATATTTTTACAGATAATCCAAAGAAAATAATGAAAATGAATCCTGTGTTGTATAGTTTACAGCTGTAATTAAAATATCCTTCTGTAAAAAAAATCAAATAAATATTTTATAATAAAATATTTTTAATGATAACTGTGTTGATAATTTTTCATATAAACATCAAACTGATAAAGTAATTTACTAATTTTACAATTAGTTGTTTAGAGTAAAGCAATTTTAGCCTTTCTTAAATTACTTCAAAATAATTATGTTTGGATAATTGCCTATTTTCCACTTTAAATCATGGTTATATAATTTGTTATTTATTTAATTGTAAATGTAACTTTCTTTGACTGAAATTTAGAATCAGTGCAGCAAACTGACATTTTTTTTTTTAAATTTAAGCATTCTAAATTAATTATTAAGTAAAAAATTAAAAAAAAGATATACATATATAAAAGATTCAAACTATAAATCCATTAATAATAATAATAATACATAATGAAGGTTAATATAAATGGGCTGGCCCGAAAGTAAAAATTTGTTTTTAAACCTCAATTATCTAACTGGATTGACTAAGTTTTTGGTCACTCAGTATGCATTAATTACTTTATAATAATTTAATCTATATTGTAAATGGAGTGATTTTCTAAATATTATTTTATTCCTTTATAAAATATATATAATTTCTGAATTTATTTACTGTTTAATCAATTCAAATTAATTTAAATTTTTTTCCTATTTTTATTTTCAATTTCTAAGCTTAAAAACTTATTAAAATTAAAAAAATAAATAAATACTGAAAAAATTATCATCATTTAATTATTTAAATTTTAAAATGTATTCATCGAAAATTTATATAGGTTTATTATCATTTTGAAAATGACTTGAAACACAAAATATTAAACTGAAATCTGATATGTATTTTTTAATGTATTTATCATTTAGCTGATTTAAAGTTTATGTATTTATATATATAAATATATATACATACATATATCAAAACAGCAAGTCAGGAACTAGATTTTTATTTCCAACCCAACACACACAGCACAAGCAAAGCTAAAAATAAACACTATACTCATTACTCAAGCTTGTGGCATTACCTTATATGGGATACGAGACGATACTTCAAATGAAAGACCACAATACGATTCATTTGACATACATAATGGCAAACCTTAGTTTTAGTATAATAAGTAATCAAATTACATCACATCAGTTCTTTTTTTTTTTTTACTTTTTTAAACAAAGTAAGCTATCTACAACATAAGACAATTGTTATGTATGGAACATAATTATATATAGGCTTTATATACATAAATTTCAAATGAGTATTTATCAAGTACTTTGCACAGTAAAACTTTGTTTACATTTGAAAAAATCTTAGACTATACAAACTAAATGTAACTATATAAACAATTATGAATAACGGCACATCACATAATTATATATATATATATATTTTTTTTTTTTAATTGTCATTACTCTAATTATCATCATTACTTTCTCCCAAATAAGTAAATATTTAAGCTCACAGATAATTTTTTTGAAATATATTTTGTTTTATACATAAGTACTCCATATACAAGATTCTTCATAATTAAACATGGTATGGGTCCCTTAACAACTGATAAAAACCTTTCTTTTTTCCTTAGACAGTTTTATAAATTACCAATATACATAAGTTTGCTTATGAAAGTCTAAAATTTACATATATAAATAAGTGAATTATTATAGTACAATGTGTTTAGAACTTCTAAGAAATGAGTATTATTTATAATTTATTTTTAAAGCTTTAACAAATATAATTATATAGTGAGAAATAAGATAACAGACTACAGTAAGAGAAGTGGATGAAAGAAAAAAAAAATATTCTGATCACATCTGGTTTGTGTCACATATCATACTTGACAGCTTTTACAAACAACGGTTAAACTGTGCAGGGAGACTGCAAAGTGTGGTCAAAACTTCAAGTTTGAATTTTATATATATATATATTATTACATTTTACTTTAATCATATCCCAAATTTCGCTTCTGTTGTCATAATTTACATGAAAAAGTATATTTTTAGTCTATAATTCCTGTAATTTACATTTAAAAACTTGCATATTTTTTCATGTTATGCTGTTCAAACAAACAGACAAACTTTAAAAACAGATTTTTTGATAATAAATAAACTTTTTTTTTACAAAAAATGCTCGATATTTTGAGTTTTTTAATTTTTCCTCAAAAAAAGTACATATTTTGATTGTTTATTCTGTGTTAATTGCATGATTTATCACAATTTATAATTTAAAATTAAGAAATTTATCACAAAATTGTATTTTTTTTATTCTAAAAATTAATTCAATCTTAATTAGTATAAAACATTTTTAATTGTAAAATTTTGTATAAAGATTAAGAAAGACAGAAAGAGAGAGAGAAAGAGATCCGTTCTAACATCATAAAAATATTCTTGGAGTAAAAATTATTTATTAAAATCATCAAATAATTTACGGACAGACATTTTTTTTAAATTTAATATCTACATCGCATTATATATATATTTATATTTATATATTTATTTATTATATAAACCAGTTTAAAATTATTTACTGCTCCATATATATTTATTTATTTTAATTGTATAGAATTATATATGATAATATATATGATGATCATTAAAATATATTGCACAAGTTTATACCTTAATACTGTACTAAAATACTACAAATTCGAAATAATTTACAACTAAAAGGCAAAAAAAAAACTGCTTTGAAGCAATTTTTTGAGCTATATATAATACAGAAGTGACCCAAAAATCAGTTAACCGCTCTGTGTAATTTACAAATTTAAAAATTTGAAAAAAAACTGTAGTAAATTTTGATAATTTACAATAATTTTAAACAAATTTTGTGAGTCAGAAATTTAGTCTCTGCAATGGTTAACTGATTTTTGGGCTACCCTGTGTATATATAATAAAATATGTCTCATCAAATTAAAAACAAAAATATTGCATATAATTTACATATAAATCCATGTTATTTGATTTATGTTAATTAAGATTATAAAATAAAATTAAAATGAAAATAGGAAGTTTTGCACCTTATAATATACAAAAAAAAGTTGAACCAATATTAAAAGTTTGCACAAAAAAAATTTTTTTAAGCAAAACTTCTTGCAATATTTCATGATATTTTACAACTCATTTAAAACTTGAAAATTATACAACTAAATGCCAATTAAATTAACACTATAAAACCAGTGATACATTTAAATAAAATCAAAATTTATATATATTTATATTAATTAAGCTTGATTTTTTTAATATATTTTAAGTAAAATATATTCTAAAAAGACACGAGTTTTCTTCAGGTTTTTTTGTTAAAATCTTGCAGAAATGGACAAAGGCACAATACATACAGTATATATCCGCCATTTTTGAGCACAACCTATTTTTTTTATTAATTATTTATTTCTTAATTAAGGCACTTGTTTACATAATTTTATACATTACTTTTTAAAATTAATTGTTTTTTCTAAATGTAAAAATATATTTTAAAAAAATTTCAAACAAGAGCTCATATTGTTTTACTTCATAGAATGGCAATGGTTTGACACAATTTGTACTCATAAATATGACAGGGATATAAGATAGAATGTCTAATAAGGTTAATTAACGCATTAGTTAATAGGGAAAACCACCATCCCTAAGAATGTATATGAAAATGAGCATCCAACAAGAGAGTCGGTCAAATTCCACTGCAAATAGAACACAGCTATGAGAAATCAACTAACGTTTTGGCAATGTTACAAATTCGAGCAGTTTGCCAAATTAGTTCTAATAACACCAAAAAAATCTTAAATTACTGAAATTTTTACAAAAAATCAAGTGTTTTTTTTTATCGTGGAAATGTAAAATAGTGCCTAAATTGATTAATTTCATTTAAGAATTGATATAGTTGGAACAATTTACATTATTTATGTGACTAGATGCTGAAGACGATGAATATTATTGAACACGACGACAATAATAACCAACTGTTTTACATTTTTCGCATAAATGTTGAGGATGTTCTTTGCTTTGGTCCGAAACGTCAAGACCGTCCGGTTTTTCTAAGGGACGCTGTAAGAAAATAATTTAATTTTTTTAATAAAATAAGGAATTTTTGAAGTACAAATGCATTGAAAATGAATCATTAACTCATATTTCCATTTATACGAGTCGCAATTTTTAATTCACGTATCAATTTCCAAATTTTGTGTTTATGGGTCATAGAGAAACAGGTGAATTGGATTCCTTTTTAAATACTGTTAAAAATGAATTCGTTAGCTTATTTTGGGCATTCTAAAGCCATAGACCCCAAGCAGATCTCGATGTAAAAGAGTACTGGGCTACATATTCTTATACAGTAATTATAGTTACAAAGTATTTAAAGTAAAACGTATTTTAGTTTCTAATATCTAAACATTATTTTGGTTTCACATGCTTTCATTTTTTGAAAATATATATCCAGTTTTAAAAGTAATATGTATTAAATTCGCTTAAACTTGAATTTTAGCTCCATTCGATATCAATCATTTTAATTCTATGCGTGAATTTGTATGCTTTACGTTTATATATAAACATACATACAGAGTGGTCCAAAAGTCAATTAACCAGGTCTTTTATGTGTAGGTATAACCTACTTATAAATATGAACTACAAACTTATAAGGCGTTTAACCTTTTACAAAACAAGTGAAAACAATAAAAAATACTAGTACTATTGTTACACATTTTTGCTTAATTTAGTTAATTGCATTTAGTTTTTACAATAATTAGCTGGCTTTTGGACCATTCTGTCCAAACTAAATTAATAATCAGCTTTTTAATTTGATGAGTAAGTATAATGCAAAATAGCACAATTTTAATGAGCGAATTTTCATTTTTTTACTTTCATATGTACATATATAATTGTAATTTTTAAAATGGAACTAATCTGTAAACTTGAATTTTAGCTCCAATGTACAGCCCCCATTTTAGTTTCCCGCAAAACTTTCATGTTTTAATTCATATATGTAATTGCAGTTTTTTAAATGCAAGTAAATTATAAATTCGCATATTAGTTCTATTGTACAGTTATCATTTTATTTCATGAGTAAATTTGAAAGTTTCATATTCATCTAATAATAAGTTAATTCTATTTAATGAAAGACCGTAGCTACAGCAGCTATCAGGTAGCTAAGCCCCCTCAGCTTAGTCAGTAGTGTAATATACGCTTTCGCTTTCATTGCATAAACTTAGACTACTGTTACTTATTTTCACACTTAAACTGTAGCTAATAGGTAAATCATTGGCTGAAAAAACAAAAGTACCGGTCACAATTTTTTCAATTTGTTCTTCTAGCATCCCAATGAATTTTTCCTGGCTATGGGATTGTTAATGTGCACCATCTAAGCAGTGTATTTATGTTTTATGTATTTATGTATTTATGTTTTTATGTTTTATGTATGTATAACAAGTTTTTTAAATGCGAAAAGAATGTAAACTTTTATATTAATTTCTTTGTACAGGCGCCATTTTGGTTCCATGTGTACATTATATTCACATAAATAAATATTAAAAGTTAGGTAGGTGCAGAGAATAAAAGTTCTGTCAGGTCATTTACCTGTTTGTGAGGGTAGACGTTGATATGACATTTGATACACTCTTGACCCATATTGGCCCAGCTGTTGCCACTCATCCACTTCCGTTTACATTTTGGACATTTGTACTCACCGAAGCAACGTTTTTTGCCTTGATATGGCGTCAGGCCTTCTCCTTTGGGCCTAGCCTAGAAAATTAAATTTAAAAAATTGTTTAGTGTTGTTTTAATATAAATTACAGTAGAGCCTCGAAAACTCGGCAATCAATAACCCGGCACTCCGGATAACTCGGCCATATCTTGGCAGGGCAAAAAAATCCTTAGCTAATTAATTTTTATTATAGACAGCTTTATAAAAGTATAAAAGCTCTCGTAAAAGGCTCTATGCCTTCATAAAGGACGTACTTTTCCTTTGTTTAAGGGTATTTGGGCAGTTTATTCTCTGTTGTATCCTCAAGCAAACAATACATACAAGTACAATACAATATTTTCTGAGGAAACATGCATACTTATCCTTTTTTAACCCCATTCCCGATAACCCGGCATTTTCACAAACTCGGCCACCCTTCGGTCCACATTAGGCCGAGTTTTGGAGGCTCTACTGTATCTAACTTTTTCATAATTAATTAAAGGTTATAAGTTATAGAATTTGAAATAATTCTAGTATCAATGTAAAATGAATACGTTCAAATTTTCGAATTTATTAATTATATTTAAAACTGACTATTATTTTAAATTATATTAAATTAAAATAAATTAGAGATAGTATTTAACATAGCAAATAATATTATTAATTCATTGCCATATTTTAAGATTAAAGTAATAATTTATTTTATATATTTTTATTTAATTTTATATTAAATTATATATATATATANTAAATCTTATAAAACCAGATGGCATTTTATTCATAAAAATTAATTTCAATAATGACGTTAAAAAGTATTAACCAATAAGAAGCACACTTGTAAGTAGAATGAAAAATTTTTATGCATCAGACATAATAATTGGATCTTAAAAATTTTTAAATAATATTTAATGTATATCGCATATAAGCAATACTTTTTATAATTAAATACACTATTTAATATACTGTAATTCACATATGTTCAATTCATGAACATGCCCTTTAAAAAGACATTATGACATGATAAATCTTAAAACATAACTCAAAAAGATGTAAACAATATTCAAGTAATGAACTGATTTTATTATAAACAGTTCATTACTTGAATAAAGAATTTCCTCTAATTTTAATTAAACAAAATATAATAATATAAAATGAATAGCTTCCTATGTTTATTAATAAATAAACATCACTATGCTAAAATAGTTATGTTCTAAAAAAAGTACACTTATCAAACAGTTTGATCAGTAATTTTTAAGAAATTTGATAATGTTAATTTAATTTTAAAAAAAAGTACTTAAAGCACATTGTGTTGTAGTAAAGTAGGGCATTTAAATTGGCAATTTTGAATTGAAGTATTGTATTATAAAAATTGTATATGTAATTTAAATAATAATGATATAAAATTAAAATTTATTGATAATTTAATTTTTTTTTCATTAAAAGAAGGTTTAGAGTAGGATTTTAGAAGGTTGATAAAAATATCCTTTTCTAAATTATAAACTTCTGAGCCATATCAAATTTGATCATCTAAAATTTCTGTTTATCTTCATTAAAAGAAAAAAAATACAAAGAAGTATTTACAAGTAAATCAAATCAGTAAAATAATACATCTTTTACGAATATATTGAAAAAATACAGATAAATGAATTTAATTACTAAATGTTTACATTATTTGACAGCCTTGAATATAATTGATGTCTTTTAAAGGGAAGAAAAAGCATTTTTATTTTGTTAAATTATAAGAATTTAAGAGATGTTATCAAAAATTTCTATATTTGTTTCCTGGAAGGTTTTAGAAAGAATGTTTTTTAAGAATTTAAATTCTCCTTAAGGGATTAGATATTTAATTTAGATTTGTTATCATTTAAAGTTTTTTGAACTAATAGCAATGGAGATATTGAATTTTTCTTAATCATTTATTATCAAAATACTCAAATATAATAATTTTAAAAGAAATTTTAGCAACTAAAAATATTTTTATGAATCAATGAATCAAGTAGTCATAATATTTTAAAGAAAAACTTTCATTTTAGTAAATTTTAATTGATGTATGAATTGAAATTTAGTATTATTTTTGATTAATTTACCTTATAAATATTGAGTTATATTAAATATTTAATACCATGTAAGTTATCATCATCATGAAAACAACACTTTCTATTTCCTGATAATGATAAGAGATCTCAAACTCTTGTTTTCTGAAAAAAGCTAGTACCTTTCCCAAAAAGTAAAAAAAGTCAATATTTGCCCAAAAGAGGTGATAGCCATAATTTTAATCGAGATGTGACTTTTTGACAATTTTGATGGCATTCGTACAGAAATGATAATCTGATTTAACACTTTATTTCATTTTTTTGACCTGTTTCGTACTTTTGATCATATTGTCTTAATATTTTTCTTTTTTATATTCTCCGATCTGAAATTAAGAGGTTCTTTATATCATGCCCATTGTAGGCCCAAAATGGAGCGGCCAAACCCACAATTAGTTGGACAGATGGAATAAATGGGCGATCTGTCAAGAGGATATTTCCCAGAACTTTCTATTGAAAACTGTACTCTATTCAGGTGAAGAACGTGAAGAAATACCAGAAAACTCCACGTGGCCAGCTCGTTGATAAGGCACGAACCTGCAATCAACTATCAATGTTCGGTGGTTTTATCCAATTGGCCATTGGTGGGCGAACTCTGAATGATATCATGTTTATGATAAATTATGTTATCTACCTATATCCATATTTATTTATTAATTACATTCATATTCATATATAAATATATAAGTTACTGTATATCCATTTATGTAGATTATAAGATACTGTATAGCATTATGATGGATTCATGAATACATGTTACGTATATATTTTCCTATTTAATCGTCTACAGTTTCATCAGTTTTTGAATATATATTATGATACTTGATCTAGTCATGGTATAATATACAGTACATTGTATCAGTTTAGCAGTTCATTTACTTAAAAGTAAGCACGCAGGCCTATATATATATACAGTACTGTACTATATCACTTGCATGTAGTAATATTCCTTCCTTTATTTTTTATATTAATAATCATAATATTCTAGTTTCAAATTTCTAATTGATGTAGAGTGTTCAGTGTATTTTTGCAAATAGGTTTATATTTAAATAATGAATATTATCAAACATATAGAAAATTTATGCCATTTTTTAAGATTTAAGCTGCTATGTAAATTATACATCACTAAATGTAGCAAATAGGCTTATTCATTTCTTACAGATAATCTTTTAGATTTATCTGTAATATTTTGAAACGACAATGCAATAAACTATAAGCAATTTATTAAATTTTAGATAAGTTTTCAAGCATTGTCAAATATGATGTATTAGGAAATAACTATAATAATTGTTAATTTATCATTAAAAGAAATTTATAAAAGTTATAAACAATATAACTTATATTGAAAATAACTCTCTGTTTTCTTATAATTTTTTCTATACATTTTAAGCACGAAAATCATTTGACTGTACTAAAAAACAATATAAAAATATTTCAATTTCATTATACACTGTATTATCGGACGAATATTGCTTTTACCTTAGTTTGTAAACATAAATTAAACACTCATATTTTATACTAATATTTTTATATACAGTACTCTACTATCATGAAAGCGTAACGAAAATATCTTATTAGCAGTTTTGAGCAGATGTTTGACGTTCAGATTTGTTACTATATTATAACACATTTAACTTTCGAAAAATGTTAACGCATTCTTGAATGTTTCAGAAAAATTTTATATTATTTTAAAATTGTATTCTGTCATAGTTTACCTCACTATCGTTACCACTTTCTTCTTCACCAGAAATTATATGTTCACTTTCATAATCGCCAGAAGTGTCCTCACTTTCATAATCATTACTGTCTACTGTTTCATATTCACTTTCATAATCATCGCTGTTTTCCTTTTCATATTCACCTTCATAATCGTCAGTAGTATCTTCTTCATACTCACTTTTATAATCATTACTGTCTGCTGTTTCATATTCAATTATATATTCATCGCTGTTTTCCTTTTCATATTCACGTTCATTATTGTTTTCTATCCCATATTCTACACTGTATTCATTTTTAGTTTCATAATATTCATCATCATAATCTTCAGATTCATATCTCAATATTCTTTCTTCTAATTCATCTTCATAAAAATCACTTTGACAATTTCTACTTATAGAAGTCATCATACTTCGAAACGAAAACAAATTAATGACTTTATAATTTTATCTGTAAAAACTAATTTATGGACTTTATTCAGTTAAATGTATGAAATTACATGCAATTCCTAGATTAAAGATAAGATTATATTTTATCTTTAATTTAATATATATGACGACTACATTTTATCATCACTAAAAATATGTTAAATATCTCCATTAATTAATGAATATTTTTAACATTCCTTTTTTAACATAAAATAATTATTGCCATTCAAATGCACAAACTTTTCTTAATAGATTGATGCTTTCCGAATGCTCGCAATTATCTTAAAATAATAATATTATTATTGATTAAAATTTTCCAAAATTCATTTTTTTTTGTATTTTAATATTTGCATCGATTTATGAATTTTTCATTGTTTTAATTAAATCTTAAAAATATAATAGTTCTTGAATTTTTGATAATGCAGTGAATAGAAGAGAAGAAGGAATAAAGGGATAGTGTGGAAGAGGATATACGAGTAGAAAAGAAATAATCCTTTCTCCAAATCCATCTGTGCAATTAAAAGTTTGATAGTTTAGGAAACATTTTTATATAAATAAATATTAAATTAATTTTAAGATTTTAGTAACATTAACAGGAAAAAAAATGAGTTTTTGAAAAATATTCGAAATAAGAGAAAAATTTGAGATAAGATTTAAAGAATTAAATTTATTGTTGTTAATTTTGGCATCAGAAACGATTTTTAAAAAACTCAAAAAAGCTAAAGATTTTATTCAAATATTTTCTAGATTTGCTTGCTTATTTATATTAAAAGTTTGTATGTTTTTATCTAATTTTTATACATATAATACAATCAGTATGTATGA